TAAATAGTAAGGACTTAAAATTTAATTATAAATCGCAAAACTTGAATTGAAAATTGATATATTGTATATTCCCTCGATATGGTGGGAAGTCAAGGTGATATATTATATATACCAAAGGCTGGCAAAAGCTCACATATTAATCCAAAGGATTTTTGACCAATTAGTCTCTCATCATTTCTTTTAAAAACGCTGGAGAGACTTAAAGTAATACATATAAGGGACGAACTAAACCGAGAAAAAATGGCAGTTTCGCAGCATGCGTACTCGAAGGGTAGATCCACAGAAACAGCATTAAGCTCAGTGGTAACAGAGATTGAAAAGTCTCTGGAAATAAAAGAATACAACCTCGTAGCCTTCCTAGACATAGAAGATGCCTTCAACAACATCCAGCCGAAGGCCATATTGAGCGCGCTTAAAGATCTGGGCATCTCTCAGCCTCTCCGGAAATTAATTGAACAGATGCTCTTGGGCAGGTCAATTATTTCAACGCTGGGAGCTTCAACGATGCACAAATCTGTCCGAAGGGGTACACCCCAAGGAGGCGTGTTATCCCCACTTCTCTGGATCCTGATAATGAATAAAATGCTTGTGGGTCTAGAAAAGAAGGGGGTACATGTTGTGGCCTACGCTGGTGATGTGGCAGTGCAGACAATATTAAACGATATTAATCGATGGGCCGTATCATGCGGACTGAATTTAAATGCTAGCAAGACAGGACCAGTATTGTTCACTAAGGCTAACGATAGTAGATAAAGCAAGCTACTTGGGACTAATTTTGGCCAGGAAGCTTTCTTCGAAACAAAACTTGGAAGCGAGGGTAAAGAAAGCAGCTACAGCGCTTTACACGTGTAAAAGAATGGTGGGGTCCAGATAGGGACTGACTCCTCGGGTGGCTCACTGGCTGTACACAGCAATTGTAAGGCCGATCATGACCTACGGTATATTAGTATGGTGGCCAATTACAGAAAAGAAATATGCGATTAGATGCATGGAAAGTATACAAAGAGCAGCTAGTATTTGCATCAGTGGAGCTCTCAGAACTACGCCAAGCCAGGCACTCAACATAATTTTACACTTGCTGCCAACAGATCTGTATTGCAAGCAAATGGCTGCGAAATCAGCTCTGAGACTGAGGGAATCCTCCCTACTAGTCGCCAGCAACAAGGGGCATTCTATGATACTCAGAAAGTTCTCGTTTCTTCTCATAACCACGGATTTTCGCAATCCTATGGAGTTGAACCTAAATCCGGTCCTCAATATCGCCTTCCTCTCCAGAGAGGAGTGGGAAAGGGACGTAGTGGACAAGGAAGCAGGGATAAGCTTCTATACGGATGGTTCCAAACTAGATAACCGAGTAGGTGGCGGTGTCTTCTCGGTTAAACTAGATACCAAAATCGCCTTCCGGTTACCAGACCACTGCAGTATCTTCCAAGCGGAGGTCAGAAAAAATGGCAGTTTCGCAGCATGCGTACTCGAAGGGTATATCCACAGAAACGGCATTAAGCTCAGTGGTAGAAGAGATTGAAAAGTCTCTGGAGATAGAAGAATACACCCTCGTAGCCTTCCTAGACATAGAAGGTGCTTTCAATAACATCCAGCCGAAGGCCATATGGATCTATATTATATAAATAATATAAATCCTTTGAATATATAAGCTTGTGCTCTAGAGCAGTGATCGGCAGCCCGTAGCCACGATTACCGTTTTGATCCATTTTTTTCTCTTGGGCCATTGGTGCATCACATTGTGAAATGGTCCATTTTTATTGCAATGCTTTAGAAAATTTTCTTCGTTAAATAAATGAACAGGGTTTTTTCATTATCGCCACAACACATATTCAACGGCATCGTTGCTAAATAGTTTCCCGACTGTTCTCCAAACACCGAATCTGGTAACACTAAACAGCTGTGAAATACTTAGATAATTTAATTTTTTTAGAGTCGTTGACTACAATTTCACTATTATTTAAAAAGGAAGGTCAAACTAGGAAGGTTAATTAAACCTTGGTCCTTCGACACCTTATTTGAATAGTTTCAATACTTTTCAACAGTTATGTTTCCCACACCCGTGTTTTTGCTGCATTAACCTTTTCATGGCTGAATAATGTATTGGTTATTTCCGCTTTCCATTAGGATGTCGGACTCTGCGGATCTTTTCACTTTAGGGTGCCTGCAAAGTGGACGCTGAAAGCCGATCAAAGAGTGAAGTTGATTTCGATCAGCGCTGATAAATTTTTGGGTATCGAAGAGTGGATGCGAGATTTAGCGCTGAATTCCGCGCGTACATTTATTGCTTTTTAATCTGATATTTTTTTATGCTCATGCACTTCAAAATACATGTACAGTAAAAGCTCCTTCGCTCTAAAATACTACCTAATTCCTATATTCGCGGCTAAAAATTTCTTTATTCGCAGATCTACTAAGTACATACATACATAAAAATAAAGACATTCCAGTAGGTATCTAACACAGTATCCTTGTTAAATAGACTAATAAAAAAGTTAAATAGATTTTATTACAACTTTACCTAAAGTGTTTTTGAGAATGCAACCGTGTTACTCAATGAATAAAGTATATTTTTAAATGTTGCTGTTCCGTTCTATAGTAAAAGCCGCTTTGCGTGTTTTATTGTCTCTTCTTTCCCATGTCAACTAAAAAAAAATGAGGAACGAGTTTCGACACGAAAAAAATCTGTGTTACCGCTAAAAGTGAAAATAGAAATGCTTGATCGTATACGCCTTGGAGAGTCATTTGCATCCATATCACACTCATTCAATGTCAACGAATCAACTGTACGATCGATAAAAAAATCCAAAGATAAAATAAGGTCGTCTGTAATGTACGTTGTCATTATGGATCGAAAACCGCAACCAAAAAAGAGGGCCCCTCAGTGGTCCAATGGTCCGGGAGAAGGCAAAGCGTCTTTACGCTCATTTTAAAGAACCTGATGGTAGTTTTATTGGTGAATGTACATATGGCGGACTTCAAGCATCGGAAGGTTGGTTCAATAAATTTAAGGTGAGACAATCATTGCACAACATCAAAAACGTTGGAGAAGCAGCATCTGCAGACACTGCTGCAAAAGGACGATATCCAGAAGAATTCGCAAACCTAGTAGCTGATGAAGGATACAAACCTGAGCAAGTATTTAATGCAACGGCGTGCTGATAAGAAAGCGTGAGTTACAAGCGCTATTTTTTTAGACTTCAAAGCGCTTCTAGTTTTGAACAATGCACCAGGCCATCTTCGGGAACTTGAAACTACGCATCCAAATATAAAAGTGACATTTTTACCTCCCAACACGACGGCTTTGTTTCAACCTATGGACCAAGGCATAATCCAGCTTTATTACATTAGACATATCTTTAAAATCATATTAGATAATATGGAATGCAATCCTGATACGAATGTAATGGAATGCTGGAAGAAATTTGACATAGCAAAATGCATCGTAAACATAACATAAGAGAATCATTGGAAGAACTGAAGTCATACACATTGAAGTCATGCTGGAAAAAACTGTGGACTGATGTGACTGCGGAAAATGACGAAGAATCTGTGCAAACTTAAATTTTGACTGTAAACATAGCCGAAATCGCGAATGGAATAGGACGAGATGGGTTCGAACAGTTGGAATCAAGTGACATTCAGGAATTGTTTGAATCGCAAGATGAAGATTTGACTGAAACCAAAGAAGAGGCTTCAACAAGCACTGGAAACGTGACAATTAATTTGAAAAATCTTAGTGAATTATTATTAAGAGGCAAATTGCTAATGCGACTGCTGTGTATCAGTCTGAATTGAAGGAGCTTTTGAAAACTGCCAAGCCAGAAAATATTACAGAATTCTTCAAACCATTGACTAAAAGATAATTAATTAAAATGTTCAAAAACGTCAATAAAATTTTTTTTTATATATTTGTTTTTTTTATGTCACCTAGGAACGTATCCCCTATAATCCCATATAAATTAACATTCCGTATTCATGGAAGAGCTTTTACTGTACTCATCAGATAAAGAATATTTTGCGTTCAGATCTGTTCAAAATTTAAAAAAAAAGAAGTGTGGAAAACATTGATAAACACAATTCAATTCAATTTCAATATTTGTATGAAAATTAAAGACGTTATCCGCAAAAGTTTTTTCAGGAGCCATTTTAGCGCGGTTCGGTGCCGAAAAACGCTTCAAAATAGTTTTCCCGCATTGTTCAACATTACGCTTCAACTCTGCGCGGCCTGTGCGATTTCGTATGAAAGTGTAAGCATACAGTTTTGAAGCTTATTTCTCGCATTCGTCAGCATTGCGTCCGGCTCGAATTTCAGCGTCCACTCTGCAGACTTCCTTAGGCGCACATCACAACATTTCCTGCTTCATTCTTATAAGGGTCTGTTTACATATACATAAACATCAACTTTCCCTTTTTGGTTAAAAAAATATGTTCCGGTTAGATGTTCAGTTGCCAAAAGCGTTCACTTACTATATATACGAGTAGCTGATATTGCGCCGGATGGTAACGTGACGAAATAAGAAGCATCTATTCATTTCGCTGCACTGCTGTAGTCGTCGCACCAATGCTTTTCTTGACTTGGGAAGTCCAACGGCTTCTTCGCTGACGATGTGAAGGGAGCAGGAAATGCCATCAGGTAGTTAAAGAGTGCTTTTAGAGAGTAGAAGTGAATTCGAGTAATGAGTGGATTTTTGATGCCTGGCATCTATGCTGAAGCATGGTACTAAATATTATTACCAGCGTTAACGATCAGTCTTTATCAGACTGGTGTTACCCAGGTGTTCAAATCACCAAGTAAGACCAATGATTACTCTGTAATCCACATACGTCCGAGTCATCACAGACAAGAAAGTTTTTAAAGCGTCGAGATTTAAAACTGCTCTGCTACTGAAATAAAAATTTGAACAGCTAAAATTTAAAACTACGTTATAATAAATTGTTACGATTTTATTTATTAAGAGAATGCAATATAGTCTTTTTAATTTCAAAAAGTGAGTCAGATAAATCAAATGTGCTGGAATGAGAATTAAAATCATGACATAAGCGTTCATTTAGTTCAAAATCTGGTCTATATGATTTTAACAGTAAAGGTCTAACTGCATCGAAAAGAGAGCCGGGATATTAAATGTATAAACTTCAGACAAGAGAAAAGAACTGCAAACCCTTCCATACATGATTTTGTTCATTGTAGGTAGATTTATAAGTTTTGAACGACTAGTGTGTGGAGGTAGACTTAACCTAGAATTCCAACGGAAATGTCCTAAGGTGAAAAGTAAAAATTGGTTTTGAACAGATTATAACCTGTTAGAATGGATTTAGTAACTCGGGTTCCATACATCAGAGCCATATTCCAATATAGGTCTAACCAAAGTTGAAAAAAGATTTTTAGTAACATATGGATAAGACCACCTTCATACCTTACCTTCACCTTGTATAGGAATTGTGAGAAACGTGCTTATCTTGAAAAAGCAGGTCTTTTCCGGTCCTTCGTTTTAGTTTTTAATCTTAGTCAATTTAAAATAAAATTACTTATATTCGACCTGGTATAAAAATTCACGTACTATTCACATGAAGCCATACTTTAAACATAATCTCAATCCGACCACAACTAAAATTAAAATTCATGATATACATATGTATGTATATACTTGTATAAAAAAAAGGTATTATCGGTGAAATCGATCTCAATCGTTGTTGAGATATAATTTATTTAATTTTATTTTTGGTAGGAAAAATTTAAAAAATATATGTGTACATAAAACTCTTGTAATTATATAGAACACAATGTATACATATATTTGTACGAATATAAATTAAAGTAATCAACGCATATGGCAAAAATTATAATTATGTATGTATATATAAATAACAATAGGTATTAATCGGTGAAATCGATCTTAATCGTTGTTGAGATATAATTTATTTAATTTTGTTTTTGGTAGGAAAAATTTAAAAAATATATGTGTACATAAAACTCTTGTAATTATATTGAACATATTTGTACAAATATAAATTAAAGCAATCAACGCATATTGCAAAAATTAACATTAACGCGCGTTACGCATGTAACTATGCAACAATAGCCATGGCAACATATCGCACATCGTGGGATATTCGAAGCCTTCAAGTAGGTATGCCCTTCTTGTGTATACAGCTTGATTTAAGTGTTATTTCTTATTTAAGCACGCCAAGGTTTCGAATTGTATTCGAGAATACTTTTAATTGCCGTACATAAAATATATGCAAAGTTAAATTTTGAGTATAAACATCAAACATCTACGATTAGTTATCGTGCTACATTTATGTGTATTACAAAATAAATGGTGGTTTTGTACATCTATATGTATGTGTAATAACAAAGCACATCTAAATAATAAGCTGCACGCTTATCATAATAGCAATTTTATTTATATCATGTAAATATTCGGTTTACTTTAATTAATTCCTAATAGAATACATTTTTCGCACATTGGAGCACTCGAAAAACCGATTGTTATCTTAAAACACATTTGCATACAGTCAACATAATATTGTCCTAGTACGATCAGTTGAATTTGTTGCTAATATGAAAATTTAATGTGAGAACCAGAAAAAGAAGTGGTAAACAGTGGCTAAGTTTTTGCTGAATTTTAATTATTTTATTATTAGGTCATTTGTAAGGTTTTAAAAGTGTGAAATACTTAGAGATGCCTGAAGAAATTTATATTAAAAAAATAATATTTCATATAAAAATAGTCTTCGTTGCTAGGACAAATTGTGACTTGGGTTAAACACTGTCAAGGATTTAAGGAGTTTTAACTGTGTACATATATGTACAGGTGGACGATATCAATTCATTTTGGCGTTATAAATACCCATTTAGTGAGCAAACCTGTTATACTTAAGTCACAAGAGTGTAATGCTGCAGAAGAAAAAAATTAGAGAAAAGTTATAAGTGTAAATTTGAATCGTTTTATTATTTTTTATTCGAGAATGATGTGGATTGGTCTTTCCCATAACTATAAAACTGGTCAACAGTGGTTTTGTTTGAACGACATGGTGCTAAAATAAAATATAACACTCAAATTTGTTCAAAATGGGCTCTGTTTTTCTTTTGTTATACAGATAATTTTATGTCATGTATGATTTCAACAAAATGTCGGCCAAATGGCCACCACGGCTCCGTTTGCATATGTTCGCCTGTTTACGCAAATTTTCGATGACCCCGCTGAATGTTGTCTTCGAGCTCCTCGAGCGTTGCTGATTGATTGGCGTAAATCTTTGATTTAACATAACCCATGAAAATAATCTAGACGGGCGTCGATTTTATCGAATTCCGGAAAGAAAAGTCGTTCAACATCGTGTTATAACGCTCGCTATTGTTGGTAACAGCATTCCTGCGTCATTTTGCAAAAAATAAGGGGTCGGCTTTAGTATACCATCCTACGATTTTAGGGTTAAGAGGGGTATGGTTGGATAGAGAATATAAAGAATATATACAATTATAGCCACCGGAAACTTATAGTTTTCAGATAATTGCATTTTAAGTTGAAAATTTCACAAATTTTATCTTACAATTTCTCGATTTGTAGTTGATTTCTCTTTTATATTTTGCACTTATTATACACTAACTTTTCACTTCAATGTTTCTACATATTTATTTTATATTAATTAATTTAATATTTGCTTTAAATAAGCATTTTATTTTTACACAATTTTCGTTATATGCACAATAACAACTGGGTTCCATGTTGACGGATAATAAGTGTTGCCATATCTTTTTTATATTTATATATATATATTTTGCAAACGAATTAAAATGAATAATAGAAGATTATACCCCAAATACATTAACCATAATATTGTTCGTTCCCTTCTTTTGAGAAACCATGGTATTGGATTGGCCAATGCAGAAAGAAGTAGGACGCGAAAGGGATAACGACCACCCCGGTGTTGGATCAGCCAGGGTTATTTGATCGAAGCGCGGCCGAAGTCCGCCAATGCAAATAGAAAATCCAATAAAAAAAGTAATGTTAAAGACGGTGTATCACTCTCTTCAAACTTAATTTCCTATAACAGATTATAACGGATATTGGTACAACTAGAAAAGGTACCGTTTCTTTTTTTGTCCGTTTTGTCGTTGAATTAGTAAATATTGTGCATATAAGTTGATTTTGTATAGGATAATCGGGTATTTTAATTATTTTGATTGCTTTCATTCGTTTGGATATGGCAACACTTATTATCTGTATTTTATAATATTAATATATTCTTTATCTGGAAAATCTCCTCTATCCAACCATACCCCTCTTAACCCTTAAATAATGGGATGGTATACTAAAGTTTCCTCAAAATATGGCCTGTTGATACCGTTATACCACAATCCGTACCAACGGTAAATTTTTGGGGATGCAATTGCGTTTCCTGAACCACACGAGAACTTGACTCACCCCAATAACGACAATTTGGTTGGTTGACGAAGCCATTAAGCCAGAATCGGGCTTCATCTGAAAAGATGATTTTTCGATAAACGTAAATTTGTGAATTTTTCGGAGAACGTGAATTTGCAAAATAGTCTTGGACAATTTTAAAGCATTGTACCAAAGTGAAACGTGACATGATTAAGTGGCAAACCTTATATAAAACCCTAAACAAACATGGCTGCCACGAGCTGTCAAAATCACGTCATCCTCTTGGGAAATGTTGTAGGATCGGTTTTGGGTTCACAATTCATGAAGCCATCAATGATTTTGCTAGATTTACTCTTGTTTATTTTTAAATCTTAATTTCCATTTTACAACGGATATATTTATCATGGCAGTTTTGTTTTGAAATACGTCAAACACATATGTTATATTTCCATAAAACTCTTTTTTTAAGCATTTCTTTTATAATTTTCCTGTTGACAATCTCTTTTTAAGATTCTGGTGAAACCGGTCTCTCTGCTCCTCATAATAATTTCGTGGATTATCGTAAAATATTTCCAGATGATTGTGGAGATAGTCAATCGTGGTATACATAGTTGCTCTTAGAGTCTGAAAGTTTGTTATTATATTTAAAAAAAAATTTTCATGATTTGTTGCTTTATGGTTACTTTCGAAATTTTCGACTATCAACATAAAACTTTTCCAAGATTCACTTTCTAGAACAGTTAAAACTGTGATCAAATCCGTATTTTTCAATAATTGCAGTATTTTAGGATCATCAAATATTCTACCCTTTAACTTTTCCATACTAAGCTTCGGAAATTTTCTACAAATGTAATTGATCGATCGATATCGTACGATCCACGTCCAACGCTCCCATTCGATTCCACTTGTAGACTGTACCGATTTATGGGAAATTGATGATGATGTCAACTAGGATGATGTCTTAAGGTATGTCAATGGCTTTTGAAATCCAAAGGAAAATTTTCATTGAATAAAACAGGACATTTTCTAGACTGTGAGTTTGATTCTATAAAACCATCCGCATTAATTTTGCATATTTTCGGTAAGCAGCCTGAGAGGAATCACACTATGCTTGTATACACGAAAAAGGTGCAAAGAACCCTAATCATAACTGGAAAATTAAATTTTATTACTAACAAGCCGATAACTGTTTAAAATATAAGATAAGCAATTATCATAAAAACAAGAGCAAATTCAATACTACTACTACTTCAATACTTAGGTTTAAAGGTTTAAATAGTTTTGGTTAATTTCTATCAAAACTAAAGAAGCTACAATTCTAGAATTATAAATGATTTTTAACGAATTTTTCTTTCATATAGTATTTCACCTTTTTCCATATTTTTTAAAACTTTTTTTTTCAAACAACAAAAAATTTAATCATTTGAATTAGGTCATCAGGTTAGCACATTTCCTAATTTTTTCTTTTTTTAATATTCTTTAATATTTTTATCCAAGAACATATTTTTAAACTTATGTATTAACTAATTTAAATATTTGTATTTTATTTTAAAAACGAGTGAATCCCGCCTTGTTGAAAATGATCTGAAAGATCCGATTGGGTAGCGATTCGTAAAATTTTCCGATTTAGTTTAAGGAAATTAACGTTCAAGCATTTTTAATACTTTCAATTAGTTCCTCTTTAGAAGAATACTGCCAGCCAGACTCGAAAATTTTGCGAGCTAACTATCGCTACACCTTTTCTATTATATTGATGTCAGGTGAGTAAGGCCCCACTGCATTAAATTAATGTTTTGTCCTTCAATATTAGACTTAAACTCCCGGATCGTACAAAGTTCCAAACAAATTTTTTTAATGGAAAAAAGCTGTTCCCAGTACGTTTTTATAATGCAATGTTTTGTGAATGCAAACAAGTTAGTAATAAAAAATTGCAGTTCGCACGTACCATATTAGACATCGCTCGTATGACTATGTAGTCGATCCAACCGATGTTCCTCCTTCCGAAGATCATGGAAATATTAATTGTATCCATCGGCCTTTCCAAAACAATTATTAGTTTTTAATCTAAACAGACTACAAAGCGCCAAACAGACTTTAAGGCCATGTGCTCCGGTAAAAAATTTAATCGTGTTTCTTTTCGGGGAACCTTAAGTCCTTTTATACTCTCGCAACCAGTTGCTACAGAGTATAATAGTTTCGTTCACCTAACGGTTGTTTGTATCACCTAAAACTAATTGAGTTAGATATAGGGTTATGTATATATAAATGATCAGGATGTAGAGACGAGTTGAAGTCCGGGTGACTGTCTGTCCGTCCGGGCAAGCTGTAACTTGAGTAAAAATTGAGATATGTTTATGAAACTTGGTAGACATGTTTCTTGGTACCGTGAGACGGTTGGTATTGCAGATGGGCGTAATCGGACCACTGCCACGCCCACAAAACGCCATTAATCAAAAACAAATAAATTGCAAAAAAGATACAAGACTGTTATTTGGTACACAGGATCACATTAGGGAGGGGCATCTGCAGTTAAAATTTTTTTTTAAAAAGTGGGCGTGGTCCCGCCTCTAATAGGTTTAATGTGCATATCTCCTAAACCGCTAATGCTATAATAACAAAATTTACTGGAAGCAAATGTTTTTAGCACGGAGTGAAAATAGTTGAAATCGGGTGGCAACTCCGCCCACTCCCCATATAACGGTACTGTTAAAAACTACTAAAAGCGCGATAAATCAAGCACGAAACACGCCAGAGACATTAAATTTTATCTCTGGGATGGTATGAGATAACTTTATAGGAACCGCGTTCAAAATTAGACAGTGGGCGTGGCACAGCCCACTTTTAGGTGAAAACCCATATCTTGAGATCTGCTTAACCAATTTCAACATAATTCGGTACATAACGTTATTTTCATATTTCTATGTTATAGTGCGAAAATGGGCGATTTCTATTT